GACTATAAACAACTGAGCGAGAACATATTACACCCCTCTCCGACATGTAAGATTCTTGAAGCAACACATTGAAAATATGAAAAGAAATAAGTATGGAAGCAATAACTCTACCTATAAGCTCTATTAAGCATTCGCCTGAATACCATTTTCGAAGAGGATGGTTTTCAGGAACACGATCTGACAAATTCTCGCCGCTCAAACCAGACACAGGCACAAAGCGAATTTTACTGAATCCTGCCTGAATTGAAATATGAAAATCACATGAGCAGAGGAAACCAGAACGGAACCACATACCTGCTTGGTCAAAAATGTTTTCATGATAGCCTGAATTTCGAGGAATCGCTCCTCTGACCAGTCAACGGTGTCCAGCTTGTTTACAGCAACTACCAACTGCCCAACTCCTAACAGCTATTAGTTATGAGCTTTCCAAAGAAACTATAAGAAAAACTCTAGAAGAACTACCAGCTCACCAAGTGATCGTAGCAGCATGGCGTGTTCTCTTGTTTGACCACCGTTTTCAAATCCAGTTTCGAACTCGCCACAAGTAGAATTCACGACTAAGATAGCAGCGTCTGCTTGCGAGGCACCTTTAATAGAGAGCGAATTCGTATTCAAATTGTACAAATATGAAGAAAAAGATATTGAAATTGGGAAACACCCCCAGAGAAAGCATGCTTCGCGTCACCTCCTCCTCATACCACAGCAAAAGGACAATACCCTAAACATTTCTTGCGCTTCTATCTTCGACCACGTTGATCGGTGGTCTGTTTACCCCACAACCTGCTAAGGTGCAGAATTTAGAATGAATGCCAGAACCTCACCAGTGATCATATTCGGAATAAAATCCTTATGTCCAGGGGCATCTAGTAACAAAACTCGCTTCGAATTCGTCTCAAATGTTGTCTTTGCTATGTCCATAGTAACACCACGAGCTCTGAACAACGCGTCGTGAAGGAATACAAACGGTGAACTCACAACTACTAGTAAACTAACCGTTCTTCCTCTGTTTCATCCAACACCCAAGCGAATGCAAATGAAGCCTTTCCGGATCTGGCTGACTCCTGTTTATACTTATGGAGGGTACGTTGGTCCACACATCCGAGCTAAAACAAAAATAAAGAATGAAGGTGAGTGAAAAGTGAAATGCTGATACTTTTGCTTAGCAGTTCCTATTTAATCCACGAGTAGTACATGCTTCACTAAGCCCTACGAAATAAGGCTCCGTTCATACTTTGCTTCCTGCCTTTTAGGCGTACGGCAGTATTGAGCGTTTTGAACGTTTCAAAAGCGACTTGCAACTTATAAGTAGAGAAAAGATCTAGCTTATGTTAGCGTGGTAGCGTCTTGAGAGTTTTCGCGATTAGTTGCTGAAAACGCTGATGCGCCCTCAAAACGCCGTCGTACGCTACATTGATATCCATACTTTTAATCGCTCGAAACGCTCAGAGCGCTGCCGCACGCTCAATACACTGATCAAAGTATGTATGAAGCACAAGTAGTCTCCCGTTTCATAATCTTCAAAGCACACTCATTGTTGTACGAAGGTGACAATCAATACCACTGAGAAGCTACTGACGATAGGATTGTTTATAAAAACAATGCAATGCAGCATTGATGAAAGCAGAACGAACTCGGCAGAGCAGGTGACCCATCAGAGTGCTTTTACCGGCATCCACATGACCCACAACGACCAGGTTTATCAATTCTTTGCCTTCATCGCGTCGTCTTGAACGTCTCGGTGTTGTCGGTGTAGATGTGATCGCTGCCAATTGGTTAAGCCTGAAAGCAAAATCGATTTTCATTTTCTGACCATTAGTAAACTAGCGAGATTTGAAAACCTCACCGATGAGAACTGGAATTCGAGGGAAGATTCCCAAGCGGAGGATTCGGTCCTGTTTTCTTTCCGGTCGGCGATTTCGAAGCACTATAAGATGGTTCGGAAACCCGTAAGTTAGCGATACTTGGGACGACAGGCTAAATCAGATGAATCCACTGGAAGTGCAGTCTCGCACTGTAGAACTATGCACAAAAAACGGTCAGCTTTTCGAAAAGAATTTGAATGTGCGCTAAAGAAGTAGAAGGAAGTCAATCGATTTTCCTTTTTCTTCAAATCTTCAAATTCGCCATATCAGTACGTATATTTACGTTTGGCTTGCATTTATTCTCCAATAGTAGATAATATCTAGAAAATCGAGAAAAAAAATAGAATTTTTTGGCGGGATATTTGGGCCTGAGGAAGGCGCTACGCACCGAAATATCACAAGATAAGATATTTAAAAAAACCTTGAGACTTTTGCTGTCTTTTGAGTTTTTTGGAAAAAAAATTTGAATTTTCACATTGTTATTACACAGGATAAGCAATGAGACCGGGACAGCACCATAACTCCAATTTCTTCAACAGTAACGAACTGCAGGGTCGCAAGGCATAAAGGCAAGCTGACTGCTAGATTTTTATGCAAAATACCCAACGTGCTAACGCTACTCGCCCGAAATGTGCTGAAATACTGACCTATTTCATGGTGGGCAAGAAGAACTTGCATGAAAAGCACTTAGAGGCAGAGGACACGATTTCTGGGGTCGGGCGGTTGTCGCCAACACCACTGATAGAAAGGCTGAGCGTGGCTAAACGTCGATTCACAGTCCTTCCTTCAATGACACTGTCCACAATCGCCCGCCTCTAGCAATCGCGCTCACTGCTTTGAAAAGCCTATATAGACAAATGGACTTCACATGAAGCGAAACAAGTATCAGGTTGTCCGGAAAGTTTTGAGAAAATTTCACACTTTTAGTTTGGAAGAAGTGTAGCAAGCGAATGCCCCAACAGAACGTCATATATCAAGTGCTATGAGAAAGAGAAATGTTTGTAGATCAATACTAATGCTGGTTGTTATTATTCTCCATTGTTGGTATGATTTGACATTACCTGAAAAATGTACGAGCGCGCACGACTCCCAACGCCTTTTACTTCATCTTCACCGTTCTGGCTCCTCTATCGGTCAAATCGGGAATGAGGAACCGCCTCGATGCTGGATGAAATGCGCTTCAAAATTATCTATACTAGGAGATCAATCGTCTCTCCCATGGAACTTTAGCTTAGATGTTGCGTAGGCTCCTCA